AGCCCGTCCCGCAGAAAACGTTTTCTGGAGGTGAGCTCTTTGCTGCCCCTATTAAATGTTTTAAAATCAAGTGTTTGTTGCATGTAAGAGATATGACTATTTTTTCAGTTCCACTTTCAGTTTATTTGAGGGAAATATAGGTGTTGAACCTTTGAACTCCCTATTTGTTAAAAGGAAGCGAATTATATATAAAATTCGAAAGCGGAAACATCAAACAGCTACAGAAGTTTTTTTCAGATTGGCAAAGTTTTCGAAGCCAGACAATTAAAAGAATTGTTCCAAGTGTTAAGAACATTAACGTTGCTAAATGTGCTGTACAGTAGTCTGTCTATGGGTAATTGGTGCTATCTCAGTTTCTGAGGGAAACGAATTGAATGCCAACACTCACATTCAACGGGGCTGGGACAATAAAAACAAATGTTACTGAAATGCAGGCAGTAATATAATAACATTAATTAACTGTTCGAACGAAACGCTAAGACGATGTCGGCCAGGTGACATTAGGACGTTTAGTGGTACACTGGTCTAACTTGCGTTTAAAAGCCTCGACGGAGGTGGACATGACTACATCTGCAGACAGAGCATTCCAAGCCTCGATCACTCTGTTTGAAAAGAAGAACTTCCAAATGTCCAGCCTGGCGCCAGTCACACGTAGTTTAAGTGGATGACCAGCAAGGTCTTAAGTCCATGCCGAAGTGGAAGTTATTCTGACCACCCAACAAAAGGTGTACATTTTCGCGTATTTCTACGTCTGTTTTAACACCTTCCCTTTCTGCAGCGAAGATGGACTTTCTTGCAACTATCTCCGTGGTTACATCGACCGACTGCTAGAAAGCTGGGGTTTTTCCAGCCTGATTCCCCAACAACCCGGACATACAACAAAAACCCTGCGTAAAAAGGACTCGTGCAAAAGCATTAAAGAGGAATGCACTCACGCCGTCAGAATATGATGACGAGCGGGCCCGACAGACACAATTCCAACGAAAAGGACCCCATGCGTCAAGTACATCCTCGTTGCTGCAATTCCTGCCGTGGAATCTGCGACTGTATGCCATGTGAAGCGTGCAATACAAACATACACACGCCGGACAGTATCGATTTTGTCTCCGCCGCGATTTTCAAGGCGCCACAAGACACTGGTCACGTGACGCGCGCAACACGAGAAAGAGAACAGGAAAAACCTGACTCGCAAGATCAGCATAGGCAAGTAACTCGGTCGGCGTGGTCGAACGTCACCATTGGGCATTGTAGGTAGCCGGTCACCCCAGAAAGGCTGTCATGCAGCGCTCCATAAGCTGCCACAAAGGAGATGGCATCAGACGCATCCTCCTCGATAGATTCGACGAACACTTGCCTCCTGTGCAAGACACAAGTTGCCTTGCCTCCAGCGCAAGCACGTGAATATTTCGTCAACAGCATTTACGTGTCGCAAACAAAGTAACGTAAATGTAAGGACATGTGCTCGAGAAGTCCTGCTGTAGTTTGCAGAGTTCCGGCTTCATGTTATGAGCTTCTTATTTGGCATGCAGTGGGGGTTTTCGCTGACTCCCAGTGTGGCTTCCAGCTTACTTTCTGCCGTGCATCGGCTAATCAGCTGATAGCGAGTTCTGGCAGCCAATCATAAGCTGGGGACTGATTTGTCCCCTCAGGAGTCATATTTTTGTGGTTTTTTCCGACCACATGTCGCGGCTGTCTCGGCCATGCTGATTGGATAACAGGGCCCTCGCAGAGAACTGCGCAGAGACCACAACGAAGGTCAGATTGGGGACCCGATAGACATTGACTAGGCCAGGCGGAGACCGCACAAGCCCATAATTACAGCTGACTACTGAGTGGGAGACGGGAGTGAGATCGACTCTGAGGACGTCATTTCCACGGTATTTGGCCACATTCTTCATCATAAAAAAAAGTTGACAAGCCTGAATCTAACGTTACGTGCTAAATGTCGTGGCTTAGAAGGCTGCTAACTGACTGGGTAACTCGATCCACTCGGTACAGAGAGTCAGGCTCAAAATCTCTTTCTGAAACTGGCCTTTATGCCGCTCCCGTGCCCGTGAGATCTGAGCCGCTCCTTTTCGTGAAAATCTGGTGGTGGTGGTGGTGGTGGTGGTGGTGGTGGTGGTGGTGGTGGTGGTGGTGGCGGCGGCGGCGGCGGCGACGGCGGCGGCGGCGGCGGCGGCGGCGGCGGCGGCGGCGGCGACGGCGGCGGCGGCGGCGGCGGCGGCGGCGATAAGCTTCTCAGCTCCAGCTAGCGAATCTCATTTGGCGTTATGTGAGACAAATCTGCACTGGGTTACCTAACTTATGAAAGGTGTTGAATTTTACGGATGAATGCTAACAACTCGCAAACCGACACCAATGCGCTGACCCAATATCTTTGTTAATAAATAAACATTTTAAGGTGATGGATAGCATTAAAGAAATACTAAAAGGAATATCGGTTTGTTTAGAAATATCTTTTTTAGAAAAGCGGTAAATCCTAAAAGCGCCGAAAATGGCTGTAATTTAGTAAACTTCTGTCCATGCAAAACAATAAATATGACAGCAAAAACAGAGCACGGCATTTTTAGTTAGTTTGAGCGGCGCGTATAAGCTAAAAACCAGACTTTGGGGTATATGCGGTACTATTGATAGACTGCAGGTAAGTGAAAAATGTACAAACTTTAACAATGGATGTCCTAGCCAAAGAATTCTTTGTCACTGTTCGACAAAAATTGAATTCCCAGCTCAAGATCGGAATATAAAACCAGCTAATTAAAATGACACAGATCATGCTTGAAAGAGGATTACAAAAGGGGAAAGAGAAATGTCAACGGGGAGCCAAAAGTGGAGGGGAGAAATGGATAATTCCAAGCGTTGACCAACTGGATATAAGATAGAATAGCCTCTGAAAATAATCTTTTAGTGGAGTTTACATTTAAATATCCTTTACGAATTAGCGTATGGCAGCCCCGAACGGCCTACACTCTGAGTATGGATTGCAGAACGGTTTCCCGAGGATTCATGGTACTCGCAACGATTTTGAATTGATTGAGATGTGGTTCAATAAGGCAAACAGGTTTTTGCTTCATTTCTCCGACAGGGGCGTCACAGGAACAAAAGTCTCCATAGGGGATCATGTTGTCAGGCGGGTCAGTGAATAACAAATTTGAATAGAATTGACAGGTGTTATCGTAAACAAACCACTCTGTGCATACAACGGGAACTTTTCTTCCGTGAAATCAATTTGCACTTATCGTTTGTTCTAGATCACACTGAGTTTCAGATCGACCTTGAAATACTGCTGAATGCTCCATGATTTTCAGTGCTTTCAACCGATTGCTCATAAAGACAGATTCCGTATTATGTGTTTGCCAAAACCTTCAAGATATTCCTTGAAAGCATTTATCAAAGCAGCGAGCATTTAGACGTTCCTTTTCTTGTAGATGGTCATTTGAGTCATATTTAAAAACTAACCCAAATAGGAAACCTCATCGTCAAATAAAATGAACGTCCACAACAAAATTCAGAAATGAATATGCTTTCGATTCAATAGAAAACTTTATTTGATAAGTTGCCTTTTTAAAGAGTGTTTTAATACTACATTGTGTTGACGGATGTCTGTATACAGTAGGTGGGCTAACTCATAGAATGGCAGCCGAAGATTCCGAAATGCAGTTTCATTTCGAAAAGATTAATTAAGTAGGGTTGTAAAGCTAATTATTGTGCAGCGTGATTCCATAATAATTCAGTAACCTCAGGATGCCGGCTTTCGAACTTATTTTCGGCCTCATGCAAAAACTGTACTCCGTAAAAAATGATTACTTAAGTAGCATGCATTTTTCTCGTCGATCTTCGATGCCCTTAGAAATTCAATCATATTTCATGGAAAACATGCATTAAAATATTCATTTTTCCCCTCATTCGCTAGAAAATTGCGTCTATGCGCGTTATCACTGCACTTTGGGGCACGAAATCGCAAAAATCTGCTAATCTGACTTTCAAAAATCAACGAGACGCCCGGTTCCCTAGAAATAACCTGTGTGTTAGCAAACTGATTCCCACGGTTAGCATCAGATAAAAAATGAATTCCCAAGTACAGCAAGCTCTATTTAGTAAAACTATTAAAGGTGCCTTACTCTCCCCTCAAAGAAAAGCACGCTCACGTGTGCAACCGAAGTCTAGGACATGTATTGGCATAGGAAATTGCCCGAATACATCGCAATGTCTATCTGCGTTCAAATTTATGAAAACTTTGCTTGATGAAATCACGTGGGCACATTTTCTGCACAAGAAGAGGACATTCCCTTGAGGAAGCCGGACGAGCGAGCAAAATGCGTAACGTTTAAGACGTCCAAAAATTTCTCATGTCAGTTTCTGTCATCAGATTTCACGAGATAGGTCACCTACCGTATATGTGTCACTATCTACTAAGGACGTTAAAACGCCGCTTCCGTTATGCAAGCTTACACGGGGCGACGCGCTGTGATCGGCGACCACACCAATTCGAACATTCTCTCTGTCAGACAGGACGTTGACATGAACACTCAGCGACGACAGCACGGCAGTGGTTCTATCCCTCCTTTCCAACTCCTCCCGTACCTCCTTTTCATCCTCCTCGTCCTTCTTCTCCCCCTTCACCTCCTCCTCCTCTTCCTCTGATTCTGCAGCCTTCAGTTCCAATGGTACTTGACTCATTCAGAGTGCGGAAAAGGATACTGGGTGAAGTTAGACATCGAGGTCGCCACGCTTGAAAAACGTGGAGTTCACATGACACACACGGGCTAATCGATAACCGTAGGAGAACCGGTCGATCCTTCTAAATCTCTTTTGCGCAAAGTCTGGGGTTCTGCAGACAGACTAAATAGCAACAGCAGTTGTAAACGTGACTGACTTGGCCACACGCGTCCTCCAGCTATTGACAATGCAAAGTGGGTTTCACGACTTTTTTGGAGGCGTATGGCCCTCAAAAAACGCTCATTTGCGGAAAATGGTCAAGGCGGCTTACCAGTGGCGACTTGTTGGAATGTCGCAGCCCTCCGATCAGGTGTGGAAACTTAGAACTGACCATTTTCGGGGCAGTCAAACGGCATCACTAAGAAGTCCGCCGCGGTGGAAGCGAGTGCGGCCGCCCTGAACTTTAACTCCCTTTTCCCCCCCCCCCGCCCCCTAAAGTAACAACGAACAAAGTAAAAGCATTCGAAATACCAACTATTACTAAGCAAATGGCGCTGATGGCATATTCAGTGCGTAAAATTCATTCTGTCAATTAATTGGCCCTGACGGCACATGAAGCATGTGAAGACGCATAGATATGAGCTGCCGGCCGAACAAAGGGAGCGGCAGAGGGAGAGAACTAACTAGAGAAGATCCGGCCCACTGACAACAGAACTATCGGCGTCTGGTCTGCGTTAAGAAGACCAGGGTGGCGTTCGGACCAGAGCACTATTTGACCCCCTGGCAGCAGCAAAAATGAGGCCTGCTACTTGGCAGCACGATGCTATGCTTCTCGACGGTGCATGACACTTATGCTACCACCTACAATAGGTGGGCTAGCTCATGAAATGTCTACCGAAATTCCAAAATGTGTTTTCGTTCCGGAAAGATTAATTAAGTAGGGCTGTAAAAGTAATCATCATACAGCATAATTCTATAATAATTCAGTTACCTCAGGATGCCGGCTTTCAAACGAATTTCTTTCCAGCTGCATGCAAAAACTACACTCTGTGAAAAATGACTACTTAAGTAGCGTTCATTTTTCTCATTGATTTTCGATACCCTTAAAGTTCAATTACATTTCATAGGAAGCATGCATAAAAATATCCATCCTTTTGCTCATTAAGTAGAAAATTACATCTTCCAATTTTGTACTCGAAGGGAGGGTGTGATTCGGTTTTTAGGTTTTTAACTGTGAGATTTTTTAATACCGTGAAATGGCCGTCCATAAAACGTCATGTCTCTGCATTTACCAATGTGGCTTGTAAAGTTAACAATATTGCTCAAATCCACTGCTTAATTTTATGAACCTCATATGGTCTCCTCTCAACACCGTAGAGAAATGCATGGTTATCCGTACACGGAAAATATACAGCTTGTAGTTTTGAAATCCTGAATGCAAGTGCAACAGCAGGTCGGGTTCAAAATTATTCGGGAATTAGAAAAGTTTTTAAGGCCGAATTATACTCTTCTTTAGAGTATGAAATTGGAAGAAGACGTGATTTTCTACCCAATAAGTAAAATAATGAATATTTTTATGCATGTTTTCCCTGAAATATAATGAATTTTCAAGGGCATCGAAAATCAATGAGAAAATTGTATGCCACTTAAGTAGTCATTTTTTTGCAGAGTATATGGCTAAAATCCACTGCCCAATTTTATAAACCCCATATAATCTCCTCTTCATACCATAGAGAAATGTATGATTTTCCGTACGAGGAAAAGATACGGCTTGTAGTTTGGAAACCCTGAATGCAAGTGTAACGGCAGGTCGGGTTCAAAATTATTCGGGAATTGAAAAAGTTTATTAAAACCGAATTACACCCTTTCTTCGGGTACAAAATTGGAAGAGGACGTAAGTTACTACTGAATGAGCAAAAGAATGAAGATTTTTATGCTTGTTTTCCATGAAATATAATTGAATTTTTAAGGGCATCGAAAATCAATGAGAAGAATGCATGCTATTTCAGTAGCCATTTTTAACAGAGTATCGTTTTTGCTTGCAGCCGGAAAGAAGTTCGTTCGAAAGCCGGCATACTGAGGTAGCTGAATTATTATAGAATCACGCTGCACAATGATTAGTTTTGTAACCCTACTTAATTAATCTTTTCGAAACGAAAACGCATTTCGGTCGACACTTCATGAATTAGCCCACCTACTGCATGTCGGGTTATACTGAACCAGGTGTTAAAAATACTGGATTCAACAAAGATCCGTATGGCGATGCATGCACTCCCTCAGGAAAGTGGCACTTGGCGGTGGCCAGTTGAAAGGAATGAATCCTGCTTTGACCTATTGGCGCAAAACGATTTTTGCCCATATGAATTTCATACCAACATGCATGTCCTCTGGATCGTAATAAAATTCTGCCGCTTTCTGCTTTAAACCATGGATCCGTTGCAAATTTAAAGGGAGTGTGATTTCTTAGATTGCATGAGAAATTATAGCTCCGACTCGTCCTTCCCATGGAAGACTAGGACTTCTCCCTCGTTTCTGATTGATGTCGAAAGGAAATTTTTAATAACTTCAGCGGAAAATGCACGGACTTGAATTTATGGATTCCCTTATGATAAGCACGCGCCTATAACTTTTTTAATTTTGCATGGGGAAGTATTGAATTTATGCTGCACGCTCGAAGCTACTCGTTATCAGACTGAGTTTGTCAAAACAGCAACTGCTTTATGAACAAAGCTCAAAAATCTGGGAAAAAAATTGATTCCTCGGAAGGCACACTGTGCTTGGGACTCATATACAGTACGTGACCTATCTCATGAAATCCGATAACGGGAACTGATGCGAGAATTTCTGGACGTCTTTAACGTAGCACATTTTGTTCGCTCATCCGCATCCTTCAATAAAGTGTCCTTTTCTTGTGCAGAAATTGTTTACGTAATAAAATCAAGTAAAATATCGGTAAATTTTAGCTAAATGGACGTTGGAATATGTTCGTGCAATTTCCTATGCTAATACATGTCCTAGATTCCGGTTACGCATCTAACCGACTTTTCATTGAAAGGATAGTAATTTATCCACAAGAATTTTAATAAACGGAATAGGACAAACTTGAAAAGTTATTTATGCCCGATGTTAGCCGTGGTAATCAACCTGCTAACACAAAGGTTATTTTAAGAAAACCAGAGGTTTTATCAATTTCTAAATGTCAAATTTGTGCGATTTGGTGCCCTAAAGTGCAGTAATGACGCAGATAGGGATTTTTTCGTTTAAATGGGCTGAAATTGTTTTGCTCTTTGGAAAATTCTACTTGATGTCACATAAATGACGACCACCGAATGGTCATTTCCAGCTTTAAACATATAAAACACTACTTGTCGTGTAGTTAAGTTTTTGTGCATACCTTATTCTGAAATAGAACGGGCAAAACATTAGTAGTTTCAGCAAAATATCCGTATTTATGCGAGCACTCTGGTAAGCATTCATAATCGAAGAAGGAAGTCTAAAAGCAATCAAAAACGGTGCAAAAGACCGCAATATATAGAAAAAGGCATGTTCTTACGTTTGTGGTTGATATATATTTGTATTTTTTAGGAACATGAGAGAAACCGCCAAGTGTCAAATTTTTACTTGGCCTCACCGTGCAAAAATGCAAAGTAAACAGAGATCCGTCAACTGAGTGCATTAATAAAACACTTCTTAAAGGGGTAACTTAATAAGGAAAGGTTTCTTAATGATCGAAGGCATATTCGTTGCTGACTTTCGTTGAGGACAGTCATTTTTTTCGAAAATGAGGTTTGATGTTTGAATAAGTCTTCACTTGTGACCAAAATGACCATCTTAGTGAACGGGAGCGCTCGAACACTCACTAATCCGGTAAATACCTATAAGAATAATCTCATTTTAAAGTTCTTAACATACAGGTAATGCAGTATCTGTCTTTTTGGACGATCGGGTGAAAACACTAAGTATTCAGTAACATTTTGAGGCCGATCTGAAACTCGACGCAATCCAAACGAAGGAAAAGTCTACATTAATTTAACGGAAGAAAATTTCTCTCTATAAATACAAAATGGTATGTTTATGATCACGCCTGTCAGTTCTATTTAAATTTATTAGGCACCGACCGGCCTGAAAGCATGTCACCTTATGAAAACTTTTGTTTCTACGACGTCCCCATCGGTGAAATCAAGCAAAATCCAGTTTCCCTTGTGGAATCTCATCTCATTTAACTGAAAAGACTCAAGGATCACACAAAACGCTGGAAAACTGTTTAAGAATCTACACTCGGGATGTAGGCAGTTGACAAACCGTCATACATGAAGTCACATTAATTATTAAACGATATTTAGATGTAAACTTCACTGAGACGCTATTATTAGACTTCACTCTATTTCTACTCTCACATTTACTACGTTTTTGGTATGAGAATACATTCTATACATCTAAAAACGACGTTTGCTAAATTAGCGCCATTTCTGACGTTTTCGGGATATTGCGCTTTTCTAGAGAAATCAGCATTTCTAAACAACGCAACACTGCCTTTTATATTTCTGTTATGCCGTTAATTCTTTTAAACTTGTACTTAATTAACGTAGACATTGGACTTATGAAATGGTGTCGGTTTGCGAGCGATTGGCAATCATTCGTAAATTTCGACAAATTTCATGAGTTAGGTCACTAACTGTAAGTCGAAGCATAAATCTTTGTTCGTCTCGGTATTTTTAGGGACTTTAAGATTCGCGCTTTGTTACATCCAACTACCACCACAGATATCGCTCAAGGTGGTGTGATCGAATAGAAGAATTAAATGACTGGAGAAAAAGAGCGGTTGATTGAGTCAAATGTGGCGGCAGTTCGGCAGGGGGAGCCAGCCAATCCATGCGCACATCCCATCCCATAGATTCGACCGCGCATAGCGGCCGACAGTCAGCTCACTACACTCTCGCATGCAATAATTCTGCCCTACGATAGGATACTTAAGAGTTTAGGCAATCGGCGAAAGAATTTATCAGACCCGATTGGCGTCTGCTGAGAAATAATCAAACCCTCACATCGTGGAACAGCTACCGCAATGCTACCTGGGCGCGGAGCGTTGAGGCCCGGGCACACCGATTGCAAAGCCCCATGACGGCACTTAACATAGGGACTGCGAACAGTCCTTAAATGGGCTACTCTGCATCCGCGGTCCTGTAATTAGCTCTAAAAGAGCTCAAGTGGTTTCGGGGGTCAACCTAGGGCAAACAGACAAGGTGTAACTGTTGGCAAAACAAATGACGGTTAGCTCGAGCATAACGAGGGTCTCATCAAGGAAGTAGTAGCGTCACCGTAGGATCAAATGGTCGATTAATTCTTACACGGTTGTCCGCATGACCTCAGAAAGCAGAGTGAGCCCACAGGATTCTAGGACGAGTAATTACAAATACCTGCTAGTCGGATGCCCCTACAAAGTCTGATAAACCACTAGCTGGAAGTCTACATCGAGTGCCATGGGATTTCGAGTTTACATACGTAAAAATAAGGCTTTCGACTAATAAAATACGCGTGACGAAATTATCCTTAAACCTTAGGTACTGTTAATGTATCGTCTTCAAATAAGCTTTAAGATACATTTAAAGCCTTGAAAATAACTAATCTTGCAAACACACTCCTGCTAATAGCAGCGACACGGCATTATTTGAACGTGTAATCATTTAAAACGAATTCCGCGCCAAAATGCGGTTGTAGCTAGGGGCCTTGTACTTGGTAGCGCAACGCGATTTTCGGTTCAGCTCGCCGATGATTGCGATCAAATGAGGAAACGGGTCTACGTGCATCAGGGCCTTCAGACTCGTGTAGGAGCTTATTATTAGACAGAGAAACAACAATAAGATAGGATCTAATCAACGACGAGTGCTACGCCCCGTCGACTGCCCAAAGCAAGTACGTGGGAATTCAACACACACCTTCGACAATCACAGTTGTTTAAATTTTGCTTGCTTTCAGTCCAAGATCAAACAGTTGGGCTCATACACAGAATACTGACTTTCCTTTGGTAGAGCGCGAATATCACGCGTTTTGTTTTACTTAAAATAACGGAATTGGGCCTAAGACGCTCATATCGACTTTCCGGCTCAAGGTGAGGGAGTTGGTTCCGAAGACTTTAAGCGAACTTCATTTGGTGTTTTTTGACAAAGGGGCCTAATATATGTATAAATGTACATTTCTAATTAAGGTGAGCGACATGTGCACAACTCGGAAGGAAGGGCGATCACGGGACTTATGGGTTTAATGTTCTGACGTTTCAAAAACGAACAAACTTTCATCGTCAAAGGTAAGTTTAGTACCGTCTCTCACGTTATTTACAGGGTCTCGATTAGGCTGTCGTGACACCGTATCGAGGGATATCTGGCACGAATTACACCGCGGGCAGGGACGGGTGATTGGGTGTTATGATGACAAACGGTTTCCCTACCCCTCCGACGGGGGACGGTGTCGGGGTGATGACCCCCGACTCGACTGCATTGTCGGCAGCTGTGTTATCCCAGACCAGCGTATCTCTTCTTTGTCCCCTCTTTGCACTTGTTCACGCACCTAAGGCCAGTGAATGCTGCGCTAGTGCGGACGACTCCGTGCCTACCTGGCCGGCGATACCCGTCATCGGCGTTCATGTGCGACCCACCGCCTGCGTTCAAGCCCGACAGGTTCGCGTTCGTCTTCGTTTCCCTTCTGCCTGCGTTTCTGCCCGAAATACCCTCACACCCAGCTGCTAGGCCTGGGTCTATCTGCGATCGCGTCTGGTCTGATTTACCGCCCACAGTTCCGCTGATTAAGCCGACTAACCACCTCCGGAAGGTCAGCGTCCAGCTCGAGGACCGTGAAGCATTGCGTTTTTTAAGGAAATGTACAGCTCGGTGGACCGTTGTACCAGAGACCCATATGGGACAGTTCCGGCGTCGGAGTAAAACGCCATCCTTGTGCATTTTAGGTCGCCCAGAGAATCTTTTTACGGTCGAATCTGTGAGTTTGAGCAGCAGTCGTTCTGTTTGTGTCGCTAGAGCGGGGTGTTGACCTTTCGGAAGGGGGGGGGGGGGGTACTCAATCTTGCCTAATGCCACCATGGGACGTCCCTGTCTGTTGGCCAAACCACGATGCCCTTGTCATCCTGTGAGTATCCTGCTCCGCTCTCGGAGCTGCCACACGCGGTTCGTGCGCCATCAGCGAGGCGCTAACGTATTGCCGAGTGAAGTGCTTTGTCTCGACGGCCCCCGGAGAATTTTCGGGAGCCGATTTGATGCTGTTCACAGGGTTAACCGCGCCGGCGGCCCTAACGCATGCTGCGAGTATCGGGATGGTAGCCGGCGCCAGGTCTTTGGAAGATGTACTATGGATTTCTCCAGCAACTCTCTCTCTCTCTCTCTCTCTGCCCTGACAACTGAGTACTGCCAAGGAACGTATTCCACAAGCCGCCGATGAGCAGAAGGCTGGCGAAACAATGGGTAACGCGACACAGCAGGCCTTACTTAACTGCACAAACGAACCAGGGAACTGAAAGTTTTCTGAGGTAGGCAGTTGGTGGAGCCAAATCAGGACACGGCACGTGTTATTCAGACTGCGCACCCATAGCAAATGTCACAGATGGGCGTTTGCTGGCACGCCCAAGCTCACGCCGCACCAGCCAGACGCCCAGTGCCCACATCCGATGGCTGATCTGCTCGGACAGTGGACTGGTACTATAGCTGAGGGAAACTGGGTGGGGGGAAGTTAAGTCGACTCGCAGCGCACACTCCTCACTTTAAACAACCTCAGGCGCTTGAATCTATTACGGTGCGCTAAAAGCCGCGGCTCGGAAAGCCGCCAACTCAGTCCTCCTCTCAGGACGGACAGCCAGGCTACAATGTCGTCTCTATGGCACTCCGGGAGCCGGAACGGCCACTTCCGGCTTCTAATGAAAACCCAGACCATCACGCGTGAGCCAGGCACGTGTAGACTGGCTGTTTAGTTTTTTCAGCCACTGCGCCTTCCGTCTTCCTGACTCTGTCCTGACACCGAGTTCGGGTGGCTGAGGGAGGAGAGGGAGTGCGGCAGATGCTGTCCCAGTTTCCTATCACTATAAAAAAGATCTTTTAATTTTAAAACGAGTCCTCCGAATGTTCTCTTCTGCCGCTGGTGTTCTTTTTTTAGTCGACACTATCCTACAACGACATTTCAATAAAGTCAAGCAATTTGCTGGTCGGATTATAGATGACGTTGTCCATCCCTTGCATTCTGATCTTATTTCTGCGAAGTCTTCCCGCCCGATGCGCCGCGGATACCGATTGATCTCTTATCGCACATCGGCTTTTCGAGTCATTCCTGGCGCGCTATCTTACGTGTGAAGAGATTGAGATACAGAAGCCAAGACTTGAACTGTCCCAATAATAATCGTCCCTTTTGTGTTAAACTTTTTGACTCTTGAGTAATCTTTTAACTTATTTACTGCCCATAGTGAATGGAGCCAATTTTTGGCTGAAAATTTTGAATTTATGATTTCAAAATAAAAGCGAATTCCTCCCAATCTCTCTCTCCCTCTCTCTTTCACACTTTCTTCCACTCTCAATAAACTAGCTCACGCCCAAGTCACCGTCCCTGTGCCCACCATGATGTGGGGCATACGGTAGACATCGTCGTTCGCCATCATCAAACTGTCATCGTATGTGTGTAGTATTTTTGAAAAATGTCATGATGATTCAGGCAGCGGTGTAATTCTGGCTAGGCACCTGGTCGACCAGTCCACCGGAAGGACTCCTCAAAATTCATTCGGTTATGACAATCAAGAGGTTAGCATCGCCAGATGTGATAGGAAGATGTAGTTATTGCCTCCACCATCGCGCTAGCCATCATTGTCTACAGAGGGAAGGGGGGGGCAAACTGGTGCGAAATTGTCATGAAAAGTACGAACAGGGGTCTCGATTGACCACGAAACACTGCTATGGAGAAGAAATATCGAAATGGCAGTACTCACGCGCTTTAACCATTCTTCAAAGCTCAGAGGACCTCCCGGGTCGGGTGCTGCGGTGGCTGTCTGGGCGGTTGAGTTGGCTGGCAACGTCGAAAAGGCTGTGGGTGGCGAAAAGCCGTACACTGGATAGCAAATCCAATAGAGAGGCTGAGGGAAGTTGGGAGGGGCGGAAGTGGATGCTTCTGCGCAGCTGTTTAGCGGGGAAGATGCTGATGGCAACAGGCTTCGAAAGTCCATCGGGGTGGGAACCGGGTTTGTGGGTGGAGCGGTGGCATTGTCGGCTGACTGTTCGGTGGTAGACCCTGTCTTCGAGTCGGCAACCTCTGATTTGGCGACCTCGGGGTCCTATAGCATGAAATTTTTGGTAACCTGAGTTTGGAATCAGTCCAGTGAATATCTGTTTGTTTTGTTAATAATTACAGTCTGCGGACTCAAAATATGTCGATGGGAAACGATTGGGCTCCTCTGAACGGTGGACCTAGACCCCTTTTTCATGTTTACTCACGGATATTAGCATCCAAAAGTACTAGGTGGTATGCGTCTTTTAAGTATGCAGAGATGATCACTGGTAGCGCCTATTGAAATGCAATTTTATATATTGGGTGAATTTAGTACATACAGATGGCATACCGCCAACCACAAAATTGTCAGGAGTGGTAGGGCGACGTGAACAGGTGCCACTAATGGTCCGTATTTGATTGAAAGTGCTTAGAAATAGTGCGCCTTTTCGTCGCTTACTATTATCTAGGATTCTAGTATCAGCTACTCTTTAATAGTTTACTTGTTACACTGTTGATCATTTGGTAGTCCGGGTTAATAGTACTGATGGTGGTGGTTAGGATGGAATTTTCAGAAAACCAAACAGAATAGACAATAATTCATCGTTAAGGACGGCCGACGTTTAAAAGTATAATTAATCAGTTCTGGTGCTTAAAAAATCGCTAATAATACAGTATGGATGGGAAGAGGTAGCCTTCCGAAAATCAGAAGCTACACCTAAGGCGAAATGGGCAAAATACTCTGATAGCAATTACTGTGAGTCAAAGAACGAAATTCAAAAAAACGTAACATCGTGGACGTACTCTAAAAGTCAACTGCGACGCCGCCTCGGATGCCTCTTTTGACAGGTCAGTGGAGGCGCTCGTAAGTGGCAGCAAGAGATCCTTGGTCGGTCCGCAATTTTCGCAAGTAAAATTAACTGAACTGAAAAGAAAGACGACCAAAAGACTTCCAGATAGACCAGTAGCGATCCCGACGAAAGAATTGGAACATTTCAAAAAGACAACCGTTCTGAATACACTTAGCGCAAATAAGTATGGTAGGTGACCTAACTCATGAAATCTCGTGGTCAGAATTTGGGAGGGTAGTACTGCATACATCTGGTATGGCTGTTTTTGGTTACTGACTTTATTTGGGGTGCAGGGAGCCCTTTATGAACGAATTAATTCCAAATCTGTTTTATGGGAAGAAAACAGGCCAAGATTAGGCGAAATCAGACGTTTCTTAGTATCCAAGTAATTTCCTGCTTTAGAGTTGCAAAAATTCCCATTGAGAAATTCAAAAGGCAATTGGGCGAGCATACGTCTGCTTTCGATAAATTCTCTTTAGGCCTGTACGTTTGTATGGCTATTGAAGTAATGGATCAAAAGATACGAACAAGTAGATAATTGTGCTGTGGCTCGGGTTTGAGGAGGGGAGGGGAGGGGGAGAGTGAAACACCGCAATTCCAGTCGGTGCCAGGGAGAAGGTGGGTCCCGCAAAGGTAA